GGCCATTTTGATCAGGTCATGTGACTAGCAGCTTTCTCAGGTGGAAACGAAACTTTACTGTCTATACAAAATGTCCTATCCCTAACTCTAAACCTGACCCTGACTCCTCATAATTGTGAGAAGTAACTTTTTTTTTTTTTGGGTTAAACTTGTCTGGACTTATTGTACAAACCTATCTAACATCCACTATTTTAACATAATATTATGGATAGAGTTTAATTTAGTGTTTGCAAGATTGATGTCACTATTTTAAAATGAATGTCTATATTGCCATGAAGCAATTAGGATTTTCTTGCCTGGGATCTTCCTATTGGTGACCTAATCAAAATGGCCGACTGGGATGTGGGGGGGTTGGATATCCATCCCTGGCTCCCTGCAGAGGGTGAATGTCTCTCTGCTGCAGGAGGGCGTGGAGAAGCACCTCCTGAGGGACGCCTTTAAGGGGCTGAACCTGATTCCCGAGGAGATCCTGTGGAGACGCAAAGAGGCCTTCAGCGACGGAGTGATGTCAGTGAAGAAGTCCTGGTACACCTGCCTGCAGGAGCACCTGGAGTCTGTGGTAAGCCCCCCCCCCCCCCTCTGGGTCTGGGTCTGAGGTAGGGAGGTCCAGATCCCGGCCTATCAGAGCATGTGTTACAGTCTAAAGTTATCTATCTACTTACTTAGTTGTCAGACTCATGTTGAACAGGGATTTACTCTGATAACAACTTATGGTTCTCTAGGTCTCTATGGGTCTCTATGGGTCCCTTAGGGTCTCTATGGGTCCCTTTGGGTCTCTTTGAGCTTCTCCGGGTCTCTATGGGTCCCTTTGGGTCTCTATGTGTCTCTTTGGGCCTACTTACTTACTTAGTTGTCAGACTCATGTTGAACAGGGATTTACTCTGATAACAACTTAATGGTTAGGACACAGACCTGTGGGTTACAGATGCTAATGCTAATGCTAGTGCTTAAGGCTGTGCTGGAAAATGGACGCCCTGGATATTAGGGAACAACACAGCAAAGTGGAAGGGATTATTTCAATCGGTGTGCTGGAAAACACAGATCTGACTTTAAAAAAAAAAAAACTGGATCACTTCCGATCCCGGCCTATCAGAGCCTGTGTTACAGTCTAAAGTTATTTATCTACTTACTTAGTGGTCTGACTCATGTTGAACAGGGATTTACTCTGATAATAACTAGCCAGCTGAATTAGGTGAGTTTGAATAATACACACTGGTTGGTAAAAGAGACACTGGCCGTCTTAATGGTTAGGACCCAGACCTGTGGGTTAGAACGGTGTTTTTCAACCTTTTTTGAGCCAAGGTACAGTTTTTCATTGAAAAAATCTCGAGGCACACCACCAACCAAAAATGTTAAACAAATCTGTAGCCACCTATAGTAACACTGTAGTTATTTTATTCTTATCTTATCTTAAGTGTCTTGAATAGGAATCAAATAAACACAAAAATGTATTTTTATCATATTTTATATTTCTTCTTTCAAATTGCACTTGACATGTCCACTTCAATATACAAAATTATATACAAAATCTAGTCAGAAGGAATTATTACATGATTACGCCAACAGTCACTAGTACAGCAGACACTCAAAAATGGCGTATTATTTGCTGAAAATGAATTCCTTATCAAAAAATTGTTTTAAAACCAATTAGGTAAAACAGGATGATTTTCTACGGCACACCTGACTATCACTTGCGGCACACTAGTGTGCCGAGGCACAGTGGTTGAAAAACACTGGGTTAGAAGATGCTAATGCTCATGTTAATACAGTATGTAAGGCTGTGGTGGAAATGGCCGGCCTGGATATCTGACTTTAAAAAAACAAACAAAAAAACTGGATCACTTCCGATCCCGGCCTATCAGAGCATGTATTAAAGTCTAAAGTTATTTATCTACTTCCTTAGTTGTCAGACTCATGTTGAACAGGGATTTACTCTGATAACAACTTATGGTTCTCTGGGTCTCTATGGGTCCCTTTGGGCCTCTATGTGTCTCTTTGGGCCTACTTACTTACTTAGTTGTCAGACTCATGTTGAACAGGGATTTACTCTGATAATAACTAGCCAGCTGGATTACGAGAGTTTGAATAATACACACTGGTTGGTAAAAGAGACACTGAACCTGTTTAATCAGGGATAAACACAAAATAGGATAAAATAATCCAACACAACTGACATTTATAGCTTTAAATTTACATGGCCGTCCTAATGGTTAGGACCCAGACCTGTGGGTTAGAAGATGCTAATGCTAATGCTAATTCTTAAAGCTGTACTGGAAATGGCCTGCCTGGATATCTGACTTTAGAAAAAAAAAAAAAAAAATGGATCACTTCCGATCCCGGCCTATCAGAGCATGTGTTAAAGTCTAAAGTTATTTATCTACTTACTTAGTTGTCAGACTCATGTTGAACAGGGATTTACTCTGATAACACCTTAATGGTTAGGACACAGACCTGTGGGTTACAGATGCTAATGCTAATGCTTAAGGCTGTGCTGGAAAATGGCCGCCCTGGATATTGGGGAACAACACATCAAAGTGGAAGGGATTATTTCAATCGGTGTGCTGGAAAACACAGATCTGACTTTAAAAAAAAAAAACTGGATCACTTCCGATCCCGGCCTATCAGAGCATGTGTTACAGTCTAAAGTTATTTATCTACTTACTTAGTTGTCAGACTCATGTTGA